CAATGGAACCAGAGACTTAGTCCCCTAAGCCAGAAAGCCCGGGCTCACTCAAATCTTTTCATCCATTTGCAGATGGAAAATGTTAGCACAGAGGCAAGTGCTCAGAGACTCAAGACCTAGATCAATCTTCACTCCTGATATGTGGCCTTATTTGCTGGCTTTGGGAAACTTCCTCTAATTTCATTTCTCTACCTGGACAATGAAGAATTGGTCTTCAGAGGTGTGCTAGGATCGAATCCTGTAGTGTACATGAAGTGCTCAGCACACAGCATCACCAATCAATCATGTTTCCCATCTCAGTTTCCTGTTTCACCTTTCTGATAGAGTGTCACAAATGCAATGGCTTAAGCCACACAGATATATCCTCTTACTCTTCCTGAAGACAGAAGTCTACATTGAGTCTCACAGAGTAAAATCAAGGCATATGAAGGTTTCATTTTTTCTAGAAGCTCTTGGGGTAGAATCCTTTTTCTTGACATCTAATTTCTGGAGGCTGCAGGCAGCTCTCCTTCACTTTTTCAAGTCATATCTTAGACTTCTGCTTCTAATGTTCATTATTTTTTCACTCCAACTCACCAGCCTTCCTAATTATAAAGATCCTTGTGATGACACAGCACACATGGAAAATACAGGATCATCCCTCCCTTCATGAGATCTTTCACTTCATCATATCTGCCAAGTTCCCCCACTGCCATGTAAAGGAAATGGACACATGCCTCAGACTAGGTAGGAAGTAGTACTAGATCTGTTTCACTGTCCCTAATACCCGGGCGTTTCCCTTCAGTGACTCTGTTCCCTTATTACTAATATCAACTCCTATTTGTTTTCTACTATGATTATGGTTATTATTGCTTTTTGAGACAGGATCTTTTTACATACCCCTGGCTATCCTGGGTAGCCTATGTAGACCAGGTTGGCCTTGAAGTTAGAAATTCACTTTTCTCTACTCCCCAGTGCTGAGATTTGAGTCATGAACCACCACTCCCAGCTCTCTTGCTCCTTCTGGACAACAGAAATTAGAAAGTTTTTGCCAGTGCAACCCTAAGTGATATGTAGCACCCTGGTCCGTCCCCACTTGGAGCTGAAATCCCAAAGCCCATCTATGCAGAGACTTTTGGCTGTGTTCCAGACCATAGGCATCTGTCTAACCTCAGGTATGAAAACTGATATGGATGCAAGAGATAGAGGCAGGAGGACCAGAAGTTTACAGTTATCCTCTTATCCATAGCAATTCTGGTGTCAGAGTGGGCTACAAAAACCCAGCCACAAACCCCCACAAAAGTAAACACAAAACTAAAACAAAACAAAAACTCTGCCAGGCTGTGCTGGTTAGTTTTATGTCAACACAAATTTTAGTCACTAGAGAAGAGGGGAGCCTCAATTGAGAAAATGCCCTCATAAGATCAGGCTGCAGGAAATCCCATAGTGCATGTTTTCCTCTCTCTCCTCTCTCTCTCTTCCTTCCTGTTTGGTTTTTTTTGAGACAGGGTTCTCTGCGTAGCCCTGGATGTCCTGAAACTTTCTCTGTAGGCCAGGCTGGCCTTAAACTCATAGAGATTGCTGCCTGAGTGCTGCAATTAAGGACATGTGCCACCACAGCCTGGCTGTGGGGCATTTTCTCAATTAGTGATTGATGGGGGAGGGCCTAGACCATTGTGGGTGATGCCACTCCTGGGATGGTGGTTCTGGGTTCTATAAGAACACAGGCTGGGCAAGCCACAAGAAACAAGTCAATAAGCAGCATTGCTCCATTCCTCAGCATCAGCTTCTACCCCCAGGTCCCAAATTCCTATCCTGATTCCTTTCAGTGATGAACTAAGCTAAATAAACCCTTTCATCCCCAACTTGCTTTTGGTCATGCTGTTTCATCATAGAAATAATAGGTAGATGGTCCTATACTCCTTGGTATGAGTTCCCAATTCTCTACTGCTTGGCCATACATATGCCTATATGAAAGGTATGGAATGTTATTCTATTTTAATTACCATGGTTCTGATTAGCAGTGAGGTAATTCGTAATGGGTTTGTAAATACTCTACATGCTTCTACATTGTGTTAAGATTTATTGGTTTCATATAAATGGCTTGTTTCACACTCATTATGTAGTGGACAATAACCTTGAACTCCTGATCTTCCTGCCTTTACATCCCAAGTGTTGGAGTTACAGGTGCACACTACCACACCTTGTTTATAGAGTGCTGGGGATAGGACCCAGGGTTTCATGCATGCTAGGCAAGCAATCTAACAACCAAGTTACATATCTGGCCCTGTGGTATGGTATGCAATATCTATTAGTCTCTGTACCTGGTTCTCAAATGAAATCATGAAACTGGTAGAAAACGGCTCTAGGGGACTATTAATTCTAATGGTAGGTCTTTGATCTTCATGGTATGGAGTTCTTAAATCCCTTGGAATTTCCTGCATAAGATCATTTCTTGATCTAGTGAAACAACTCTTGGTATGCTCTGGGATGGTCTCAGTTTGGGAGCTTGCTGCTAGAAGAAACAAACATGCAACTAAAGCTGTCAGCATCAAAATGGAATCCCTTAAGCCAACCTCTATAAAGTAACCGTCTCTTCAACTTTGCCACCACTTTGGTTATTAGTCATTGTGCTAGAGGATATTGTTTCAAAATATCTAACTCGACCCTCCACTTTTCACCTAAATCTTCCTCTTGTCCCAACCGCTCTGAATATGGGCACAGTTTACTATGGCAAAAATATTGCCTCTGCCTTGCCCTAAGCTCTCTCCTGCTTTTACAGATGCCTCTAGCAGTGCATACACACAGTAATTAACAGTGCCATTTGTGTCCCTGCCTAGAATGCAAGTTCCCCAAAGGAAGGGACTAAGGTGTAGTTAATTGGAAAGGATACTCAATACATTCAATAATTATTTGCTGAGAAATGGATAAACAATGGGTGCACTCTGTCACCAATGATCTCAAATACAAATTACAGGTGGGCATGAGGTATCCAGAAGTTTGAGTGGACAGGGAAATATCTCTTTATATTTGGATGCTTTATATTCTGGACCCCCTGTTGACAGAAGTTTTTGTACCACCTGGTCCAGCAGCTGTTTAGTCCCAAATAAATACACAGAAGCTTATATTAATTATAAACTGTTTGGCCTATTGCTCAGGCACCATATTGGCTAGCTCTCTTTTAATTACTAACCCATTTCTATTAATCTATATATTTCCACTTACTCTTGGCTTACTGGAGAATGCCCAGGCTTTCTACCTTCCCGGTAGCTACATGGCATCTCCTCAATCCCACCTACTAAATTTTATTTTTTATTAATCCCTGTATGGATTAACTGCCTGGCTTTATTTATCAACACATTAAGAGAAACATATATTTACAGCATATAAAAGAACATCCCTCATCAACTCCCCCCCCCCCGACATTTTATGGCATTTTAAAAAGAGCAAATGTAATATAAACATTGTCTATTTATTGTGTGGGCAACACTATTTTATAGGTCCTGCTCAATGGTCTTCACAAGAGTGGTGAAGGGAAATGATTAACACTCATTTCAAAGAGGAAAGAGAAGCATGGAGAGAGGAAGGACACAAAGCCAGCAGCGGTAGGATGGCATGGCAGCATCTCAGAGGCAGGGATAAAAAACTGAACTCTCGGCTAAGCAGTTGCTGCTGAGACAGGCTTTGGCTTGTTTGTATCTGAGTCACATTAATTTGATCATTTAGGCATTAGAGTTTCTAAGAAAAGGGAGAAAGACCAAACATTGGAAATTTTAGTTATGTGTCACCTTGGGGACAAATGAATTCTGATTTTTGTCCACAGTATCTAAGCACAAATTGCAATGCCAGTAATAAAATGAGAGCTTGGAACAAATAAATACCTGGGGCTGCTGAAAGGAATGTTTGTCTCAGGGCAGAGGCTGGATGTAAGTTAAATGTGTTCCTAGGGAGAAACATGTCAATACAAAATCTTTTCACCAACCTTTGATGGATGTGCTAATCTTCTCAGGTCAACACAGGCTCACCCCAGCAATGCACTGTAATAACTTATTTAAAAAGCAGCTGGCTTCTATAAATGGACTTCTCCATCAATGTTTAGATTTCCTTCTCACAGATGTATTTGCTTATCAAATTGGTATTTACTATATGCAATAAGAACTCAACTGTGCATTTTGACAACAAAGGAGGCTGCAAAACTGACCAGATTTTGGAATTACTGTTCCTTGCTATCAATTCTGTTTGACATCCAAGCTCTGGACAGAAAATGAGATAACAGTAATGTGTGATGGGTGATTTGCACTGTGTTATAGCAACAGTTATAGAGCAAATCTAGTCCATAGCCTGTATTTTACAAATAAAGTTTTATTGTAACACTATCCTATCCATTTGTTTACTTACTATCTATGGCTGTTTTTATGCTATAAAGTCAGGGTTAGGCAGTTTCAAGACAGACTACATGGCCTGCCAAGCCCAAAGGATTTACTCTCCGGCCTTTTATAGAGCATGCAGGCTAACACCTAGCTGAGTGACAAGTGGCATTTGTCTTATTGGACAGTTGCATCATTTTCAGAGGGATCCAAAGTTATAGTCAGAGAGAGAGAGAGAGAGAGAGAGAGAGAGAGAGAGAATGAATATATGGATTAGAGCCCAGAATGGGGTGCACACCTGTAAGCTAGCATTTGGGAGGAGTAAGCAGGAGGGTATAAGAGTTTGAGGTTAGCTTAGGCTATATAATAACTGGTATAAAAAAAGAATGACACGTGGCTTAAAGCTTTTGTGACATCTAGGAAGGTTAAAGAAGGAAATTACAAATGCAAACCACTGGACAGTATCCTTAGGCAAGAATTTCAGTGAACTCGACTCTATTACAGAGCGTGTTAAGAATCAAAACAATATACTCTGTTATCACTTTATGTCAACGGGACATTCCTTGGCAATAGTGTACCTCCTGTTGATAGAATTCTAAGTGGCTGACAGATTGTATCGGTATACAGGCCTCTTTTTCTTAAAAATGTCCAGGAGAACATGAAGAGAACAAATCTAAAAGTAAGAGGGAAAGGCCAGGAACTGTGATCAGGAGGCATTCCCTAGGGTCCCCGTGCCTAGGCCTCAGAACTTCAGGGGAATGACAGGCCAGTATTTCGGCTGTTTTTTGTCACAGTACTTGTCAAAGCTCAGCTGCACAGCAGCCTCCATGGCCAGGATCTTGGGAGCACTGTCCCCATACAGGCGCTTCATCTCAGCTTGGCGCCGTTCCCCAGGCTTCTCAGATGGGGGCTCCACAGACCGGTGGCGGTTGTAGTACAGGCCATGGTCGGCATTCACATAGTCATCCAGGCGCTCTGCATCTAGTTGCTGCTGTCGCCCTGGGAATGGATAATACCATGATCATCAAATGAAGAATGGATGGAGAAAATGTGGTACCATTTACACAATAGAGAACTACTCAGCAGTGGGGAGGGGGGGAACAACATAATCTTGAAATTTGCAGGCAAATGAATAGAACTAGAAGAAATCATCCTGAGTGAGGCAACCTGATCGCAAAAAGACAAACACGGTATGTACTTACTCATATATGGTTTTTTACCATAAAACATATGCACATGTAGGATAGGATCTGATGAATGTTGCCACTACTGCTACTACAACTCAGATGCCACTCCAACTCAACTCACATGCTGCCCTTGGCTCCTAAGACCCTTCTGTTACCCTTTGCAATGGCAAATTTGGACCCTGTTGTGCAGCTGAGGTAATATTTAAATCCCGAGGCATGACCTACAGATTCTCGTTATCTATTCATAGTCATGAAGCTTACCAATCACTTGTTAGGAGTCACTAGCCATTGACAGAAATGAACAAATGCCACCAAGAGACCCACTATTCCAATTCACCAATCCTCTACAGCAGACCTTGAAAATAGAGACAAATGGAAACATGTGGCTTTCTCTTGCCATGAATGGCAGGTAGTCCTTGTTTGCTTTCATGTAATGGTCCCCTACAAAAAGGGGAAGTTTCCTTCCAAGTTAAGTGTTTCAAGAAGCGTATCCCTAAAAATTACATTGATCTGAGGGTGTATGGACATTGAGCTATGGCACACGTGTGGCACTAAGTGGACAGCTCTTGGGAGTCAGTTCTCTTCTTCCACTATGAGTCCTGGGGTTCAAACTACTGATCAGGCTTGGCAGCAAGTGCACTTCCCCACTGAGACATCTCACCAGCCTCAGTTTCTTTCTTTCCCTTTGCACATGTGGATGGTGTGCTTCTATGTGTACACACATGTGAGCATGGAGGACAGAGGTTGATGTCAGGAGTCTTCTTCAATTACTATCCACTATCTTACTATTACTGTTTTCAATGACTATGGAGGCAGGCTCAGTCATTTGAACCCAGAGCTCACTGATGCAGTTATAGTCTGCTCCTGAGGCCTTGCCTCCATTTCTCAAGTGCTGGGGTTACAGGTGGATTGCCATGCACACCTGCTATTTTAGGTGTTGGGGTCCTAATTCTGGTCCTCACCCTTGTATGACTAGTGCTTTATAGAGAGCCATCTACTCAAGCCTTCAAGAAGCAGCTCTAAGTAGCACAAATGAGGCACATATGTGTGGTGACCCCTCTGCAGCTGACTCAGTGTCGTCCTGCCATGTAATGAATCTGCTTACATAGGAAATCTGCTTTTCCCGGGCTGGGGTTTCACTTGTCACTTCACAGCTCAGCCCAGGTGAAACCTGCAAGTCTACTAATTTAGTAAATCCCTGGCAAGGAAGCATTTGTTCAATTTGTTTCCTCCCTTTCTACTAACTTTAAACCACATCAAGTCCCGATAGTACAATTTGATTCCTATGTAAATAGCCACATAAAATATCAACAAAGGAAAGCTGCAGAGGGTAAAATGGAGCCAGCTCACACAGATTTTGCAAGTGACTCTGTCAAGAGGGAAATTGATAGCAGAAAGCACATTATCTGCAGTTGCTATTGTTACCAAGAGGAATGCCTCAAGATAAGGAGTCAAGATGGCTGGAGGGGAATAAAACAATGGTATAAATCATTCTTCCATCCTTAGGCCATTCTCTGCTAATATCTAGAAGGGAAGACAGCAGTGAGCTAAATCAAGTGTGAAGGGAAGACATTTATATAGCTATTCCCAGAAACCCTTGTAAATCCAGTTCTTTATAACTAACACCTTGGAAATTGGCGAGAAGGAGTTTTACACACTTGGAACCATTATTAAGAATAGATAAAGCCAGGCCTGATGACACATGCCTTTAATGCTAGCACTCCGGAGGCAGAAGCAGGCGAACAGCTGTGAGTTCCACACCACACTGGTCTACATCACGAGTTCAGGACAGCCAGAACTGCATAAGGAGACCCAGTAGAGCACATACTGCTGTGGCAGAGAACCCACATTTCATTCCGGCACCCAAGTTGGGCAGCTCACACTTGCGTGTAACTTGAGCTCCCAAGGATCTGGTGTTCTGAGAGCACCCCGACACATTTGGCACTCACATAGATATACACATAAATAAAGAAAAATGGCTATGTGCACACATATTCAGCCACTGTTGTCTTAGAACATCTGCATTTTACTGTCACATGTGGAAGTAATATTTAAGGCAAAGGACTGTGAAGCCAAAGAAAAGAGATGTTGTACACTGATGTATACTGGGAAATGCACAAAAGTGGCTTAATGCTCAAATGAACTGGAAGTTACCAAGACTTTGGTCTTTCTGTCAAGTTTCAAATATTACCATTTTTTTACTGCTCAGTCCTTGGAGGTATATACACTCTATACTACTAAACCTGAGTTCGGGTAGAGGGGTGTGACGTGAATGAACCTAGCCAGGGGAAATGGTCATTTCAGCCCTGACTGGACAGTTCCCGGTCTGCTTCTTACTGCTATAGTTCCCTGTGTCTTTGATGTGGGAGCTTGGGTGGAAACTCAGCTGGGGACTGTCTTCTCCCTGGGTTCATCCCTCTTCCACTCCCCCACCACAGTCTTAGATTCAGTCACCTTTGCTGGTTCAGGCAGAGCTCTGAAGTAAGCTTAGATTGCCTGGTGAGACACACAGACACAGTGTTTAACAAGCACTGGGATCTTCACTTAGCTCAGGCTGCCTACGCAGTCAATGTGAACTTGAACTTCATGTGTTATGGTCTGCACCTTTGGGATTATACTTGAGTGCCATCATATCCGGTTTAGACAGTGCTGAGGATGGAACTGCAGATGTGGGCAGGCTAGGCAAGCACTTTACCAACCCAGCTACATATCAAACTCAACAATGCAGTTCAAAATCAAATACTCTCTGACCAATAGGCTGTGTACTTAAGATCAGCTAGTGTCTGAACAAATGAACAGTGGTTCTCAACCTGTAAGTCATGACCCCTGATATCAAAAGACCCTTTCACAGGGGTCACCTAAGACCACCAGAAAACACAGGTATTTACATTACAATTCATAACAGGAGCAAAATTACAGTTATGAAGTAGCAATGAAAATAACTGTATGGATGGGGGTCACAAAATGAGGAATTGTATTAAAGGGTCGCAGCATTAAGAAGGTTGAGAACCACTCAGGGGATCAAGAATTGCATGATACAATGAGCTTGAATGCCTCTACTCAGTCTGTTTATTATTCATGGCTCTCTTCCTCTCTCCCAAGGAAAGAAGGATCTTTAACCTGCCATTTTTTATTTTTGGTCAAGGTAAGGTGAGGGCTCATGCAAGTGGATAGAGAATGATTCAACTGAAGCTGAGTACCATCAACATCACACTGGAGGCACAACTGTATAGCTGCCTTATACAAATAACAGACTGGTCCCTCTTAAAAATGAAAGTAGCAGCGCTAGCAATCAATGTAACTGAGAATTGTTTTTTTCATAGGGTTGTAATAGTGAGTCTTGATTAACAATATGACCATACTGAGGAACACCTAGGATATAGTAAAGCAGACCTCTGCACGTGTCTAGGAGTGTTTTACTAGATGATTAACCAAGGAAGAAAGATCTGTCATGAATGTGGGTGGCGACATTCAAAAGGCTGGGGCCCAGAGAGAATAAAAGGGTTAGTAGGAGGAAGTCCATCAGCATGGGCCACTCCCTCTGCTCCCACCACAAGCTCCTGCCACCTCATGCTCTGCCATGCTTCCATCCGACTGATCTTGGACTAAATCTTTGGAAACTGTGAGCCCAAATCAATCTTTCCTTCCTGGCTGACAGGTATTTTGTCACAGCCATGGAAAGTTTGACTAACTTAGGGGTATTTGGCCAAGGGAATTTTTCTAACCACAAATCAAGAGTACTTCAGTTCCACTCCAGCTTCAACACAGGGCTGAAGCAAGCTGAGCAGCAGGGCCTAACCACCAGAACATCAAAATGGGGGCTGATTTGGAAAGAGGGTTTTTGCAGACAGTTATCGATGAGATTATACTAGATTAGGGCAGACCCTACATCTAATGAGAGTGACCTAATACGAGACAGAAAAGGACACAGAGATACACAGGGAAAGCTATGTACAGGCAGCCTGTGACACTGCTTCAAGGGAAAGGATGCTGGGAGACACCAGAAACTGCCAGAAGCAAGGTGTTAGAGCCTTTACAGGAAGGCAGTCCTGAGGAAACCTTGAATTTGGATTCGAAAAGATAAACCCCTGTCATTTGACCACGAAATTTGCTATTATTTGCTGCAGCAACCCTATAGAACAAACACAAGGATTTTCATGTGGGGTTAAAATAAACACCCCACCTCCAATCAGTAATATATTTTAAAGAAAAAATGCTGCTGGATCCCATCTAAGGTTAGGGTACATAGTTTTTGACATGTTTCTGCCTCAGTCTATGCATCTATAAGACACTGGAGAGATGGCTCAGTGGTTTAAGAGTTCGGACTGCTCGTGCAGAAGATCCAGATGTGGTTCCTAGCACCCATGGAGGGGACTTACAACTGCCTATAATTCCAGGCTCCTCTGGCCTCTATGGGATTTGTACTAACACTCTTATACCTTTCCCATCCTGCCACATAATTAATTAAGCACAGTTTTAAAGAAGAGATATTACTAACATAGAATTATAACCCATAATGGAAAAAAAAATAATCACAGGAAGCTACTCGGACTTTAGGGAAATTTTGCACAGCAGGAAAACACTCATTAAATATTCTATAGACAATTAGCTCAAAGGCAGAACAGTTTGAGAGACAAAGCACAGCAATAATGAGTGTTAAAGATTGTTATTTCCCTCATTTTTCTAGGATTAGCATGTCTTTCTGATGAGATTGTCTGCTATGTTGCCAGACTTAATGATGATAACACAACCAAGGGACAGTACAAACTTGAACAACACAACCAAGGGACAGTACAAACTTGAATAAATCAAGAATGGCTTTCTGGTTCATCAGCAACACAGGTGCCTGCTAAGCAGAGTGACTTGACTGGTCTCTCTGTTCTGTGTCCATTGTTCCACGTCAAATGTAACCCTGAAGTTAGTGGACAATCACCATTTTAGCTTTTATGAGGATAGTGCATTTACCCAGCCCCCTTCCATTTTCTCTGACCTTCCACATCCATCATCTCGACAGTTGCTTTTTTGTCTTTTGAACAACTGTAATGACGAGATGAATGCATATGGTGGAATGGTGCACAGGGTGATTTCATAGCTTAATCACATTACTGGAACCAGAATAGCCCAGGAAACATCTGACTGTAAGCCTAGGTTTTCTAGAGGACAGACTGAGGGAAAAAGTAGTGGGTTTTCAGTGCACCGACTAAAGGGTCCATCACTATGGGCACAACAGTGGAAACCCCCTGGATGGGGAATACAGAACGTAATGAAGCCCATGTATCCCATGAGATGCACAAACACATCTGGGCTCTTTAGCAAAAACAACACAGTAGCCTGAGCACCAAATGACATTACCCTCCCTCTTATTCCCAATAGATGGTACTGCTCAAAGTTCAGAGCATGCTCCATTTCTCCACAGTTACCTGGTAACTGCTGTCCTCCCACTGCCTTGGACACTGGCTCTACTCCTTGATTGTGTCAGTAACTGTGTGTGGGCTGTATACCACAGATACTCTTCTCCACTTCATCTTAAACAGGCTTTTATTTCAACTTCACTTAAGAATATCATGTTCTCTGAGAACATGTCCTTGTTCTGAGCCCACATCCACCCTGAATCACATCTAATAAAGACCTAACTGGCACAACATCAAGACCACAGGGGCAATATTTGTTTTGGAGGGTCTTCTTACTTATGGGGGATGTTAACTTTCATTCAAGGGATATAATCATACAGTTTCAACTGATGTCCATTTATGAATAAAATTTACCCTTCTGAGTGCTAAACATATTTTCCAAATATGTTTGGAAATATGTTCCAATAACCAAAACTACAGCTGACCTTTAAAATGTTATAACTGTATTTTTGCATAAGTAGTGCTTTGAGCAAGTATACTAAGAGGAAATGATGACATAGGTGTTTCCAACACACAAAAGGAGTTGTTTTTCTTTTTTGCTGTCCCGGGGATGAACATGCTAGACTATACTATACCACTGAGCTACAGCCATATCTTCAGTACTTGTGTACATATGAGTGACTACAGACACCTGAAATTGGTGTTAGGTGTCTCCCTTGATTGCTCTCTACCTTAAAAAAGCTTTTATTGAGGCAGGGTCTCTCAATGAACATGGAGCTGCCTGGAAGGCCACTCGAGAAAGCCAGCTTGCCCTGGAGATCAAATCTCTGCCTCCTAAGTACCCGATTACAGGTTGATACCATAGCTGGCCAGTTTTCTGTTTCAGTACTGGGATATGAACCCTGGTCTTTATGCTTGTGAGACAAGTACTTTATTGGGTGATGCATCTCCATAAAAACCTCCAGGGTTCATTATCCTGGTTTTGTGTTTTTACCATTTAAAGATGTTATTCATTGGTAAGGGTAGAAGTCACACATAGGAACATGCTTGCTGTCCCCAGGCTGAACAACTGTATTGAATAGCTCACTGATGATGAACTAACACACAGAAGATTCCTGTGGGCTGACTACTTCTGAAATGTTAAAATTATGCCTTTCCTTGTTGGCAGTAATATTTTACAAAATCCCATGCTGCAACTCAGTAGTGTTACAAGTACATGTGAACATGCTCCAACACCTTACCTCTTCATTTGTGGTGTATGTCTAAATTAGACTAGCTTGGTGGGGAAGGGTATTTATCAAGACGGATGACATGAGTTTAATCCCTGTAACCCATATGGTGGAAGGAGAGAACCAACTCTGGCAAGTGTGTCCTCTGACCTGCACCCCTCAATAAAGAAACAAATAAGCATAATAAAAAAAGAAATGTACTATATACAAAATATGAAATATTGTTTTCATAGAGTTATTTGGATATACCTTCTTTTTTAATTTTTTTTATTTAATACTCATGGGTGTTTAGCGTGCATGTATGTCTGTATATCATGTGCATGTCTTGTGCCCATGAAGGTGAAAACAAGGCATTAGACCTAGACCTGGAGTTACAAGCAGTTATGAACTACTATGCAGGTGCTGGGAATGGAGTGTGGGTTCTCTGGAAGAACAATCAATGCTCTTAACCCCTGAGCCATTTCTCTAGACCCTGGATATACTTTCTAATATGCATCAAAGAAATCAACAGTTTAATCAGAAGAAAACTGGTATTAAATAAGTGGCTTAGTGAAGAACCACAGGCAGGCATTAAAGGAAATAATACTTCACTAGAAGCCCCAGGGGATCAATAAATGTTAATCTATTGTTAAGAGGTCACAGATATTTTAAAATGGAAATGAAACTTTTCTACTTTGAAGTTTCCACGTTTCTGTTTATTAGAAAATTCTGGGCAAGGAGCTGGTTTTAGTTGTGCAAATCTTTACTCCCAATATTCAGGAGCCTGAGGCAGAAGGGTCATAAATTCTAGGTTAGCCTGGGCCATATAGGAAGATTGTCTGAAAAGCCTAACCATCAACCAACCAAATGAAAATTCTACATAAAATACACAATGATACCGTAGTGCAAGGTGTATTGATACTGAATATTAGTCTTAATAGGAAAGAAGAATTTAAAAATTTTGAAGGGCACTTATAACAATAATAAACGGCTTAGTGAACACTGGCAATTTTAAACAGAAAAATTCTTCCTTTTGGACGTATGGTGCAAAGCTATAAGACCTTAATTGCAATCTCTAACTTGTAGTGAGGACCAAACAGGAAAACTGTACATGACAGGCATTTTGTTACTGTTTCGGTTCACACTGATTCTACACAGCAGGGAGCTATACAGGACTAGCTATGACCTGTGCCTCAGAGAAGTACAGTATTTGGGGAACCTAGGAGTGTCAGGGAGAAGCATGGCACAGAGAAAGATGCATGGTAGAGTGCAGTCTGGAAGACCTGAATCCGAACAGCAAATGAGTAGCTGTGTAATTAACCTCCTTAAGCTTCATGTTTCTCATTTGTAAAATGAGTTCTATGCCTTAAGGTACTGCTGTGTGGATTAGAGAGGGCACACATGCATTATACACATACACATTCCATCTGATTGAGTGATACTCAAAGAATGGCAGAGGTACTATTAGGAACTCAAATGAACAGTCCTATATAAAAACAAGGACCAATGTAATTGAGGTACAACATCACCATAGTTTTGGAGGGCTTACGACCAGATTTAGATGATTAACTCTACCTAAATGAAAAGTTCTAAATGGTATGTTAGAGAAGAGGTGAAAATGTGAGGGCAGTGAAACGAACACAAGGTAACAGGCCTGAACTTACGCCGCTCTTCTCTGTGCCTCTCAGTCTCCGCAAAGTATTGGCGGAGCTCCTCGGTGATTTCCATATTGCTCAGGTCACATTCTACTTCATCATCTGAATCCGACTCCATCTCTTCCTCTTCCTGCGGGGCTTCATCTTCTCTTGTGGATGCCTGGGTTCTACTGTAGTCATGCAGAGGCTGCCCAGAGCTTTGGAGATGTGAACCACTGTAGGGAGACTCCTGCCAGGCCATGTGCTGGCCTTGGTAGTTCCAAAAATCGCCAGCCCCATAAGCAAAAAAGTTCCAGGGAAGAGTTCCATAAGGGGAGAACCATGGAGAAGTGAAATATGAATCCCTGGACTTTCTGTAGGCATTCTGGTGGTTTCGCATCCAAGCCATTGCATGATGATAATGTTGCCAGTATCTTGCATATACTGGGTGAGAATACCAAGATGCAGTAGTTGTCCATTTTGATGTCTATGGAATGGGCATATAAGACAGACATCAAATGGTTCATCCTTTAGAGAATCTTCAAATGTTTAACCAATTAACGGACAGCTATTTCCTAAGTGTTAGCAGCTACTTTTCTGTTACTGTGATAAAATACCAGGAGCAAGGACAATTTATTGAAGGACATGTTAAATAGGGGTTTGCAGTTTCAGAGGTTTAGAGTTCATTATGGCCGGGAGGCATGGCAGCAAGCAGCAGGCATGGTAGCCTGAGCAAAAAGCTGAGAGAGCCTATCTTCAACCATAAACTTGAAGTAGAGAAACTGAACTGAAGTGGCACAAGGCTATAAATTCTCAAAGCGCACTCCAAGTGATGTACTTTCTCCAGCAAGGCTACACTTTCCCATAACCTCCCCAAACAGTGCCACCAACTGGGGATCACGTTTTCAATTACACAAGCCTATAGGGAACATTTCTCATTCAAACCACCAGACTAATATCTACTGAATGCCTACTTTCCAGGAGGATGCTACTAAGCTTAAAAAAGAAGAATAAAATAGGTTTGTACCAACAACAGGGAGCAAATGAAACATATTTCCTGAGTTACCTAGGTAGGTATAGGACTATAGCAGAAGGTTATGGAGGTTTATATAATGTGATTAGCTTTAGACAAGGTCACATGATTTAGAATCAGTGGACAGGCAGATTCACTTGTGGAGGAATATCTTGATTATGTTAATTGAGTCGGGAAGACCTGTCCAGTAGGTGGCACCATTCCCTGGCAAGGATTCTAGATTGTATAAATGGAGAAACACGTATTCATTACCCCATGCTCCTGACTGTGTATGCAATATTACTGCCATGATGAACTAAACCTTTGCACTGGGAGACAATTTATTTTTTTCTCCCTTAAGTTCCTTTTATATGAGTATTATATCACAACAACAGGAAAAGAAACCAAGACATTTAGGACAGAGGTAAATAAAGTGTTTTCTTTAAAAAGGCTTTCCTTTGATTCACAATGCTTCTAGTAAGTGTTCAAGTTTTTATTAATATAGGTAATAACAGTTGCATGATGACATCTTCATACTTTTACATAATGCATTTTGTTTGTATTGACGCCCATTACCACCATCTTTCATCCCTCCCACTCCTAATGCCATTATTCCCAACTGTTCCATTTCTACTTTATTGGTTGTTTTTTTTATAAGGCAGGAAAAAAGTCTTGACATTTGTCATTTTAGCTACCTGTACTAGCTTAAATTAGAAATGGCCTGCCAATGAGAATGACCACAGCAGCCTCTGGTTCTTTTTCTTGTTTCCTACTAACCTGCTGGCTTACTCTGCTCCTCAATGTCTCAGACTTAATTCTAATAACGCTCAAGGTGGTGCTTTTCCTTTTAGTTGTCTGACAGACAGGCTGAGTATCCCTTATGTAAAATGCAGGGTCAGAAGCATTTCAAATTTCAGTGTTTGGAATGACTGCATACATTTTTACTGGAAATACATAATCTATACTAGCCCCAAACATGAACTATTGAGTGTGTTGTGTTGTTATACAAACACTTAGGACTCTCAGTGATTAGGATTTGTGATACTCACTTTTTTCCCTTTGCTCAGCATCATAAAATGTGTCCACCAAAAATATTTTGGGGGGGGTGGTGGGAAAAGAGTGCTAGGGGGCTGAACATAGGGGCACTGTGCATGCAAGACAAGTGCTCCATCACTGAGCTATATCTCCATCCTAAATGTCAATAGAGACTAACGAAAAATTCATAAGAAAAATTGCTAATCTTACCATTGCTGCTATCTCTGATTACAAAATCCAAGTGGGCACTGAAAGACAAACACAGTAATGATATATGATCAGCAACGCTATAGCATAGTCACAGCTATTTCATGGTTTCCAAAATAGCACTCAAGAGTTTACCCCTTGCCAGCATCATGCTTGACCTTCCTGCAACAACCTGTTAACCTGGGTTATGATCTTGTGGTCTAGGGAAGAGCAATGCCCTTAGATATAACTAAGTCAAAGGTCATGCCTGCTTTTATATTCAACTACTTGTTGACGGAAAGAAAAGTCCATAAAACTAAACACATAACTTAGTAGTGTATGGATACAGAATAATGTATAGGGCACCGGCTCCAAGCTTGCATATTACTTTACTGTTTTTAAGCATATGCTGACAGCTATTTAAAATAACCTTGGTTTCTTTTCTTTTTGAATATTCATTTATTATTTATTATGTATGTGGCTGTGGTGTGTGTGCTATGGTATGTATGTGTGTGTGTGTAAGTCACCTGTGAAGGAGTCAGCTCTCTTTTTTCCTGTGGGCTCTGGGATGGACTCAGTTTGTCAGGCTTGATAGCATGTAGGAGGTATTTGACCCACGGGACCATCTTGCCAGCCCAACCTCAAGGATTGAGAAGACCATCTTTCCAACTGACTGGAAGCCTGTTAGGTCTTGCCTTAAGTTTGGGACTTGTAGAAGCCTCTTGAACAAGATGATTCTCCACCCTCTGCCTTGGTTTTGGTTTCATATTATATTCTTTCTCTAATAACCCTGCTTCCTTGCAGAAGGAGGCTCCAGAGGCATGACATGTTCTAATTGCTTTTGCCAAACAGCACAGCTCTGCCAGTATTGCTTTTTTCCCTACTACCTAGCCACCTACCTTCTTGTGTTCATCTACTCATCCACTAAATGTCCTACCTAAAAAGTCAGGTCTTTTATAACTCACTTAAATGTTAAGGCTGCTGAGACCCTTCAGCAGGCAGAAGTGCTTGCCATACAAGATCGGTGACCTGGAAACCCACAGTTTCCCAAAAGTTGTCCTCTGACCTTGGCCTGTACACACACACATACACACACACGATGGAAACTGGGAGAAAGTTATTGAATGCAGTGAGCATGTAAACGGAATTGATCTTCGCATCTCTAATTTAAACCTTTAAAACAGGGTCCATTTCCTAGAAACACAGCTAGCAGTTAATGTTCTTTATAGACTATGTAGGAAACAGAAAATAGTAAGTAATTGGGTGTGTTACCATTCAACAAAATAAAATGCAAATGCAATTATCATAGAAATCAGTACACACTTAAGTGCTAAACTGCAGGAAGCCTGTAAGTGGCTAATCGACTAAAGCCAGGCTTCATATTTCTATCACTGAAACCTGAAGAGCTTTCAATGCCTGCAGCACATAATGACATCAAAGTGAACTCCATGTGTGTCTCAATCAAGCTTGTTTTCTAGGTTAACAAAAAACATAGGAATTAAATAAGAAAAGCCAAAGAGTCAGCATGGGTCTTCTGGAAATTAAGAGCATCCCATCTCCTAGCTGGGTGTGTTAGTGCATGCCTGTGTTCCAAGTTCTCATGAGTCTGAAGTAGGAGAACAGAAAAGTTTGAGGCCACATCAGCTACAGTAGTCAAGTTCCAGAAAAGCCTGAGCTATATAGGTAAACCCTGTATCAAAAAACAAGCAAAGCAAAGCAAACTTCTTGGGATCTAGACTTCATTCTATGCCTTACAAATTATAGAAGTAGGTCATGTCTGATAAGCTCAAATGTAATAAACCCCATTAATGAACATTTATTATAGGCCAAATCCTGTTTTGACTTATATTTAGAAAGATTCAATCTGGCCTTAAAGGTACTAGCATATTAAGAAAATCTATGAGACAGCTGAGGCTTTTCTGCTACAGTTACATTTTTAGGTAGTGTGGGAAAGCAGGTAACCCTTGAAGAGGTTTAAGGGTAATTAGTGACATTTTCCCAGCAGCTCAAATGTCAATGGCTGTGATTAAAAAGGGCTCCAAAAGAGTTCTACTTTGCAAAGAGGTTGCTTATGATTTGGGTTCAAAAAATAATTAAGTAGCAGGGTTGTAGTTATACTGTGCTCACTCTAAGCATTCCTGCAAGCTAGAAGCCAAGAAAACCATCTTTGCTCACTAAAGAAATCAGGTTTCTGCTTCCCAGCATGAAGCAGTTCATGATGAACCTGGTGCCCCACCATCTAGAAGATACCACAATGTAACTAATCAAATTCTATCAGTCTGTCTAAGGAGAGAGCCATGGTCCTTGTGTAAGCTAAGCAAACACTTTACAGAGTTATAGACCCAGTCCAGCTACCAGATACTTTGAAGATACAATTTGTGTCAATGATGGACTACAAGAACTTTGTTAGCAATTTTGTTTGGTTTTGAATAGAAGAATTCAATTAGTTTTGGCTGCTGGAATACTTAAAATCAAGTTGCTGCTATCCTTCAGCACACACAGTATTACTGGGGCTAGATATCAGGAATGTTCACATCACCCTAGGCGTTAGTGTTTTTCCTTCCTGAATTCTCAAATCAATTTGTCATATTCTTTTACACTTTAGGATACCCAAGATCCTATGGATATTCAAATTAATAATTTTGAAGAGTTTTAAGATTTGCACTTACAAATTAAACTTCCAAATTCAAATAAGACAAAGCACAGAGAAACAGTCGAAAGGAACAACATGCACTAAGACGTTTATAATTATTATCTCAGTGTTTCTAGTATCATTCCTCATATTTCATGCTAGCATTTTCCAGTAAAGGTCCAAATGGGAAGTATTTTAGCATTATGGGCCGCATATAATCATTTTTACATAATGTTAATGTTCATCTTTGTTTTAAAAAACACCCAATAAAGCAAGCCCTCCCCCTTTTAAAACATAATCCCAATTCCTAGCATCCTGTTGACCACAGTTTTAAGTTAATATTGTAATACCTTGTAAATTCTACCCTTACATATTGAGCATCCCTAATGTTCTTTACTTTCTACTTGAAGTCAGTGGGGGAAATCATGTATGTCTTATATATTTCATGAGTTATCAGGCTCTACATAAGACTAGCAGAAAGAGATTAGGATTGACTCTAATCTTGGTGATTCCTAACATTTGGGGCACAAAATAAAGAAAAACATTTCTATGAATAAGTAAGGAAATTGGAACACTTATTAAAGCTCTCCATAGACATTTAAAGACTTAATCAAAACCAACAAGGGCTGGAGAGATGGCTCAGGGTTAAGAGCACTGGTTCCTCTTGCAAAGGATGGGTTCAATTCCCAGCACCCACACAATGGCATACAACCATCTGTAACTTCAGTTTTAGGGGAATCCAATGTCTTTCGGCTTCGTTGGCACTATATGAAGGTAGTGCACTTATGTACCAAACACCCATACACATAAAACAAAAATAAATACATTTTAAAAAAAGCAACAAAAGAGATCAGTAAAATAGTATTAATCAACAGTAGAAAGCATAGGTAAGGGCCACAATTTCTGATGTAGATTGCTCACTTGTCAATGCTAGAGAGCAACATGAAGAAGCAGGTTTGGCAGTTTTGAGTAGATATACCTGGAAGGAACACACAGTCTTCCTCACAAATGGGAATCTGCTCTAAAAATACCACATTCCCAAATGAGTCTGGTAACATTTTGAGGCTGGTTAAGGATTTAATAAGAACATTTGGCATCCCTGGCAAAGCCAACCCTGCGACATTCCCAGGCTTTACAGCAGCATTCTTATCTCAAGAAAAGAGAGCGTATGGGGCAGTGGGTCTTAAGATCTTCCATTTTATCTTTTATCTCTACCCCCTACACAGAAATCTCCAACTCCTTTCTGGAACAAGCCTTCAAGGACTGAACAAGTTTTCTTCTGAAGGGCTGGTGGAACCGAGAGAAAGGGGATTGGCAATGTCAGGGAAGGCCGGATCTACAGCTCTGCAAACTGGGCAGCCCTCCATAGCCAACACAATGGCATCATGGTCACCACCCAGCTGAGCTCTGGGGAATACAGAGACCATTCATTGTCCTCAAGTACCAAAGAAGGGAAAAAAAAAAAAAAACCACAACAGCATTGAGGTCATTCACTAAACACTGCTGAGTCCTACAGACAAGACAGAGCCTCCCAGTCTTGAATGATAATATTTTCCCATACAGCCTTTCTAAGGCAAAAAAAGAAAAAGTAAAAAAAGAAAAACAAAACGCCCCCCAATCCCCCCACTTGTTTTGCAGTGACTGTGCTTGCTCTGAAAGACGTGTTTTTTAATGCACAGCTATACATGAATAACAAGAGCTTTGTTATTTTTTCCACAGATAAAATGCAACTACTTCCACTAAATTATTAAAAAAACTCCACCTACAATGTATTCTTTTCATTGCATATTTATATACTATTTCATATATATATATTCTTATGAATATAGGACATAGGGTGTGTCATGACAACCAGAGAGTAAAGGTCACAAACTCCCTCCAAAACATGAATTTTCTTTCTGCCCTTTTTCCGTCTGTACAATTTTGAAATTTAAATATATGAAAGCTCACTTGCTTTTACTTTCACAAAGGAAGATAGACAAAATCAAATATTAAATTAGTCTTTGTGGCTATAGTCTGGAGGGTCAACCCTTTCCTATTGAGGTTCCGACTGATTTGGCTCTGAGCCAGACTGACAGTTTGGGGATGTAACTAAGACCCTCAGAACACACTGCTACAAAGGAGGATGCTGGAGTTAAAACAATGTAAATGAAGGCACCATAAGGAACAGTAAAGTCACATGTGATTCTAAGAAATCTTCCTGAACATGCAATGCTAACCCCATCAGAGAAGCCTTTCAATCATACAAACAGCAATAGTTAGCTCGATGAAGAAAAATGATAACATGCCAATTTCTGACAGTTTGTTACCTGCCCTCCTACTATGGCTGTCTCCATGCCACCCGTAGCTGGTGTGGTTGACAACTCGTGGACTTCTTTCTATGGCTTTGTATGGCCCCTACTCAGTCATCTAGACATTAAAGATGGTGTTAAGTCCAAATGGCCTGCTTCCACCAAGATCCAATTTTAAAAACATGAATATTTATTGTGTGTAGCGTGTATGTGTCATGTTTGGTGTTAAGTGCCTTTACCCAATGAGCCACCTTGCCAGCCCCCCAAACTCCATCTTTAGCTGGACAGAGGGCCTGCTTACGAGTTACATCTCTCTGTAACATCCACTGTAACAGCCACTTTTAAAGCTGAAGATGGAGGGAGACAAGTAAGTATTATTTAAGTCCCTTCCATTCAAGCCCAGGTTTATATTTGTCTGGGTGTTGCAGTTAAGTGTTGTCAAAAAGAAGGCACGGGGAGTGGGAGAGAAGACCAAAAGAGTATAGTTAACAACTTGTATCCTGCTGCCCCCACACAAATCACATTCTACCCACAGAAAGGCATTGTTTAGTTTATCAGCAAGGGTGACAAACATTTGTGAGTGCTTTCATTTGCAACTCCACTGAACCCTTAGGTGGATAGTGTCAATCTGAAATGAATTGTGAGGGCATGAAAGGGCAGGATATTCTGACTCAGGAACATCCCAGGCAGTGGGAGAATTGAAAACAGGGACAACGGACAATGGCAATAACAATCCAGTTGAAAAGAAGAAACAGATGGTGGTTGTTGCATTCCAGCCATGTGTCTTTCATACAACATATTCTAGTATAACCATGAAACAATAGGGGCTGAATAGAGCACACACTCAAAATTATTGGTACAGCAGTAAAACTCTTTAGTTAAAGCACTCAAAGCCACTTTTATATGCCCAGAGACTTATTTTACATTTCTTTCTTAAACATATTCCTAAAAATTCCATGCTAATTTCTTTTTTGAATACTGTACTTGCTCTGGGCATTTATATGGAGGGATAGATCTGACAACTTATTCCTTTTAGAGTTCCCATTTTTCTCCCATCAGAGAAAATAACAGGTATCATGTCCTGCGTTTGGAGGCTATAAGATTGTCTGTTGTATTCTAATAATATTCTCTCCTACCTCTGCTCCCCCAAATTAGTAAGGGTTCAGTAACTCAGAAAAAAATCAAAAACAAAACAACAACAAAACAATAAAAAAACTCTAAATGTTCTCAGCAGTACAGTTAAACACATTAATATATTTTAAATTTGGCCTTAATCAAACAGAGTTTGTATTCACTTGTCCTAGTATTTTATGGGTGGGCTTACTAATATTAAGTAATTCTGAGAGTTTTATATTGTGTTTGTGAACTCTCTTATCTATCTATACTCCAGCAATGTTTAATTTCCTGCCGTCAGTCTTATCTCAACTTCTCTGTAAACGCTGGATTTTAAGAAATAAAAACTAATTCTCTGCTGTCTATAAAACAGTTTTAGAATGAAAATGTTTTTCTGCAGCTTTAGCTTGTCTGCTTTCCCAATGCAGCAGTCAACTGGGGGCGTTATATATACTTTACTGTGAACTTGCCTGTTAGGTTTATCCAAAGCATATGTATATGGTTCATATTCGTACTGCCATCCTAAAGGGATTGTTGTTCTGACCAATTATGCTACCATAAATTGTACTTTTATATAGTATCACAACCTCACAATTCATGGGAATAGTGAAAGTAAGTAACTCTAAAAGCTTTGTGCTACCTTTAGTTTAAAGATTTCAAGTAATGTTCTGGCTTTTGGTTAAAACAAAACAAACAAACAAACAAAAAACAGTTGAGTCCAGAGCCTAGCCTTTCAAATGTTCTCAAGATAATTTCCACTAAGACCCCTGACCTACAAAGCTCAAAGCTGCAGGGCATTTGAGAGAAAACTCGTGGGTTGGTTTGTTTGTTTGTTTTTTATGAGCCAATATCACAGACATCCCTCCAAAGATGTGTCTGTCCTGAGTTAGGGTTGGATAGGCAAAATCAAGTTCACCTATAGACTTACTGCAAAACGGTGATTTACAGTACATTTGAATTACACATTTGAATTACAGCTTTAAAAAAGTTCCCAAGCTTGAACCTCACTTCTAAAAATTTGTTCTGAAATACTCTGAGGTGGGGGCTTGAACATCAGAATTCTTAGCAGGCCTTCAAGGATTAGGAAACACGACGGGGTTGAGAGCAGAAATTAGAACTCGGCTTCTTTAAACAATCCGTTAGCGTTACTCTCATGGGTTTCTCCAACTACCTCGAGTTGCCAGATGATGGCAATTAGAGCCACAACGTGGCCGCCAAGACAGTGCTCCAGGCTTCTGTGGCAATCAGGACCAGGCTACTCCCTTACTCCCCCAAAGCAACCCATCAGTTCCCGAAGTCACCTCGTGGGCAAGCAGCTTGCAGATCTCAGGCGGTGGGCAAACACGGGCCCAGCTCTCGGTGGAGGGGGGCGTGAAGAGAGGAAACACGAAGAGGGAGGAGGGAAGTGTTGCCTGGGTAACTAAGAGCGTGCTTCCGGTTCGGGTCCAGAAGGACGGAAGTCCTGCCTTAGCCCCTGACGTCACCGAGCGTCAGTGGCTATACCGAGTCGGAGGGCGGCGCGGAAAGGGAATTCTCCCGTCAGGGCGGGGCGAAGGCGGTTGGAAGGGTGGTCCTGACGGAGAGCTGAGTGCCTATTGGGTACCAGGGTGGGGCCAGAGCCGAAGCGGGACCGTTAGCTCCCATTTTTGTTCTCTTTAGCTTTCACTTTCTTCCTGCTTATCTAAAATGGAGGGTGGGAAATGCTAGTGCTTTGAAAATACAGATTCACTCAGATCTGAGTTCTGTGCACTTAACTGCCTCAGTCTGCTATTTCTCAACCTTAACTCTTACCTAGCCTGATATACTGTGCACTACTTCAGACAAAAAAAAAGTACCAACAATTTCTGTCATCATTATCATCATCAGTACAAGTCCCGCTGGAGTCGCAGGAGAGTCCTTAATAACCAAATATAAACTACTAAAAATCTATGTGGAATTATTTGGCAAAATGTGCCATACCTTGTGGGATTTTTTTTTTTTCCCCTATGAAAACCAGATTTGGACCAGATGCTTATCACATGGTTATTCCAGAAAGTGAAAACTGAAAACAATTTAAACTCCAAAGGAAAGACTAAAGCAATTAGTCAGTGTCAGTAGTGAGACACTATTACCTTGTTATTCTTGTAATATGGACGAATCAAAGTAGTATAAAAGAATGCTTAAAAGTTAATATTGAGAAAAGAACGTGAACTATCTAGTTGTTGTTGAGACAGTCTCACTTTTGATTGGCTTGACACTCACCGTGTAGCCCAGGTTGTCTTGAATTCGCAGAGATTTACCTACCTCTTCCGTGCAGGGATTAAAGGCATGTGTCACCAAATTTGGCTTAACTATCTGAAATTTTAAGCAATATTTTACTTGGCAGTGATATAGCTCAAATGACAGAAAGCTTGCCTAGCACGAATAATGTCATGAATTATATCCCTAATGCAGATTAAAACTGGCCATGGTGACATACCAGTAATCCTAGAATTCTGGAGATGGAGGGAAGGTTGTCTTTGGCTGCATAGTGAATCTGAGGCCAACCTGGGATACTTGAAGCTCTGTTCCAGGAAAAAAAAAATCCTTGCCCTTGGGGAGGAGAATTTACCTTAAATAAGCGTAATATTAAATTCATCTTTATATTTTACCTTATTAATGTGTCCAGTAGAAAGTGAAGTTATATATGTGGCATTAAATTATTATTCTAATAGAGAGTAATATTTTATTTACTGACTATATGCTGGTAACCAAGACAGTTTTTAGACTTCATAAAATTGAAAATTGGTTGTGTAGAGAGCATAGATAGTAAATGAAAGTACAATTATGTTTTTGTTTGTTTGTTTAGAGTCTTATGTAGCCTGGGATAGAACTCTCTAGGTAGCCAAGGGTGAACTTGAATTCCTCGTTTTCTTGCTTCTATTTTCCAGGTAGAAAGTGTTCACTACCACACCTGGCATCTTATAGTAAGTTGTATGAAGACTATGTTGCAGAGAGGTACAATATGTATATTTGCATGCACAAAGGCAGTTTGATTTAAGCAAGAAATGAGTTATCTATGGGTAGAAAGGGCTGTGATGTGTGTGTGTTTGTAGTAGTGTGAGCATCTTAAGAAAAAGTCAGGTATATCTTGAAGTAGACAAGTCAGTTGGAACCTCAGGGAAGAAAAAGAGGAGAGGCGCTCTTAGGAAAGGCAGAACAAGGTAGACTTAGAGTTAATGTTTTTCAAGTGGAGCAGTTCCTGGAATACTGGGATGTCTACACACACCAGTATGTATGTGTATACTATATTGTTAGCTAGAATATTTTTATTGCATTGGCTCTTTTTTATTAATTTTTAAAATCTATTTTGCATACCAACCAATTTTCCATCCCTTTTCTCTTCCCATTCCCTTTCTCCACCTCCCATCTACACCCCTGCCCCCATCCACTCCTCCTCCATTCAGAAATGGGCAGGCCTCCCATGGGAGTCAACAAAGCATGGCATATCAAATTGAGGCAGGACCAAGCTCTTCCCCATGCATCAAGGCTGGGAGAGGCATCCTTGCATGGGGAATAGGTTCCAAAAATCTCATGCACTAGGGACAGATCCTGATCCCACTGCTAGGGGCCTCATAAACAGACTAAACAATACAACCGTCACCCACATATGGAGTGCCTAGGTTGGCCATGCAGGCTCCCTAGATGTCCATCCAGATTCTGTGAGCTCCGCTAAGCTCTGGTCAGCTGTCTCTGTGTGTTCTACAGTCTTAATCTTGACCCCCGGCTCCCTTGCTCATATGATCTCTCCTCCCTCTTTTTAACTGGACTCCTGGAGCTTGACCAAGTGCTTAGCTGTGGATCTCGGCATCTGTTTCCATTAGTTACTGGATGAAGGTTCCCTGATGACAATTAGGATAGGTTCACCAATTTGATTACAGGTAAAGGCCAGTTCAGGCGCCTCACCACTATTGCTAGGAGTCCTAACTGGGGTTGTGGCTCTTGTTGCAGAGATTCAGAGGAGTGGTTCAAAGTGATGAGAAGTAAGTTTCTCTCTCACAATAGTGAGTGTGAAGAGTCCAGAGTAATGTGGCAATTCCATGGGATGAGAAATTCATCCTTTACCTGTCTTTTAGCTTCATTCCATCTTGCCTTCTTGACTCTGGAAGCTTAGTACAACTTGACTTACCATGGCACCCCTTTTCTATTCAATGGAGGGTGCAAAGGAAAACCTCTTTGAATGCCCCTTCCAACCAGTTAGCATTTCTCAGCATTAGTCACATTTGAATTAGTCTGTGTTCTGAGGGCTGCCCAGTATAAGCTTTCTAGTAGCATATCTATCCTCTACCTACTCCAAGCCAGTAGCATCCCTCACATGTGACAACTAAAAAATGTCCTGACCTGTTGCCAAATGTCCCCCGGGGGCAAAGCTGCCCTCAATTAAGACTCATTGTCTTAGGACTTTCCCACATCACTGTTCAGCCATGCTTTGAACATCTCAACTCATCCATCATAAAGACAAATTACTTTTGGAATTTTCTGTCTTTCAGGTAGCCAATGTGCCCAGCAAAAAGTTAGCTAAAGACAAAGTAAAAAAGCTAGCAGAGCATGGTTTACAAAGCCAGTTCTAGAATAGCTAAGACTGTTACACAGAGAAACCCTGTCTCCGGGTGGGGAAACTAGCTAGCAGATCTCCACCTACCCCTCTGATTGAGGTGCCTCACTTCTTGGCTGAAGTTTTAATTGTTGCTAATTTTAAAATTAGTTGCATTAGTGGTGTTTAACAATCAACACCTAAAATGTGAGGATCCAACCCATGATCACCTTCCAAGCCTTAGGGCAGACATTAATGCTGTCCACAGAGAAAAACATAAATGTATGGATGGCATGTGATCAGTCTGCTCATGAATAAAGGGAGAATTACTGTGAAAAGAAGAGAATTCTGCTTAAGAAGCAGGTCATTCTCTCCAGGGCAGAAAGGGTAAGAAGACTTAGAAATGCTGGTGGAGGTTGGATTTTATCACTTGTCTTGTGGCACCACCTGGTGGGAATTTATAATTCAATCACCCTCATCTAGCATTTTCTTTAATTCAGGTTTAAATTTCAGATTATGCACAACTTGAAAAGATCACCTATGATGAGGAACTTGAGACAATTGGCATTTGGAGCCATGTAACCCTTCATTGTGGGGACTGTCCTACATGTTGTAGGCTATTTAGAAACATCCCTGATGTTCCAGGTTGTCCCTCATTCATTAGAAACAGAAATCTTGCCAAATGTCCGCTGTGGTACAGAGTTGCTCCTGGTTATGAACCACCCTTTTAAGCAAGTCAGGTACATTTTCCTGTTTTTATAGTTTGTATAGCACAATAGTCTTAAAGCAGCAGTTCTCAATCCGTTAGTTATGACCCTTTTGGCAAACCTCTATCTCCAAAAATTTTTACGTTATGATTTATAACAGTAGCAAAGTTACAGATATGAAGTAGCAACAAAAATAATTTTATGGTTGGGGGTCACCACAACATGAGGGGCAGTATTAAAGGGTTGAAACATTAGGTAGGCTGAAAACCACTGCTCTAGAGCATCCTGGGGATGGCTTGTAAGATAAGGATAGGAAGACAGTGCACCTAAGAAATGAGGTTTCATCTATAAATATCCCGCTACAGAATTATTTGCCCTCCTTTTCACAGTTTACAAAACCCTATTCCTGTTCATCCCAGCAGTAACAGGAGAGATCTATGAAACTTAATGGCAAGATGAGGCACTGTAGTGTTAAGTTCTATAGGCTAAGTCAGCTAATCCACAGAGGGAGTAGCACAGAACAAACACAGGCTATGCCCCACAAATGGGGCATACAATTGTAGATGACCTGGCTCAGGAGATCATAGCTAATCTCATGGGCTCTTTGGAGCTTCCTACCCCACCCCAGCACTCATGACTCATGGAGAAAGTGGTTGGAGTGCACATCCCTGTAATAGCAGCTCTTGGGAGGTGATGGCAGGAGGATCAGAAATTCAAGGTCATTCTTGATTACATAAGAAGTTCGAGGCCTGCCTGCACTACAATGACAAAGAAAGGGCAGATTCTATGAACACCTATAGGTGTCCTCAGCTCCTGTCTCTCTTAGGTCCTCTCCTATGCTTTCTTCTTGTTCTGGGATCTGTAACCCACCAGCCAGTGGCTGGATGCCCCTACTGACAAGACCAGGCACTCATGCCATCACTCCAAGATGCCTTGTCATCCAAGGCCCTGCTCCAGATGTTGGTTGTTTCTTTCTCCTGCCTGGGTCACTGCAATCATAACTTTGTCTAGCTCTTTCCCAGGCAGCTCTCAGTGCTGGTGGTAAAATAGCCGCCACCATCTTGGATAGACCACAGCTAAAACTGTG